TGCAGAGTCTGGAAGTTATCTTGTTCACAGGGTGTATTACAAGATATTTTTAATATTCATAAAATGACAATTTAAAGCTAGCAAGTGGCCATAGGAGATGAGAGGGAACATGCAAAATCCAATAAGTGCTACTTTGGAGACAGGTGCAAAGTGGACTAATTAATAGCAATCTATACTCTGGCCAGGGCTTGCAGTTGGCCGACTGAGACACTCGTAGGTCAGGCAATGAAAAGATAGCAGCTCCAAATTCATTTTCTCACTCTGTCTCTCCCATAGGAAGGCTCAGAAGTACACTCACACTTCCTTTAATTCCTTCACTGGGGTGTAATTTATTTTTGCGTTTGCCAGCACATTTGGAAAGTTCATTACCTCGCTCATGGCTTGTTAATTAGCCTTGTAAAGCCGCCATTAGATCTCCTCGGGCCAGGACCAAGATGAGTACTTTTGTCCCAAAACATTAACACACTGGAGGAGACCAGTAAAATATCACTGTGCACATTTAAGAAGTAGCTTTGACACCTCGGTTAAAAGAAAGACAAGACAGAGAGAAGTGATCATGGCGGTCACGTGCTCCGAATGGATTGTTGCCAGTTCTACCTCTGCTGCCACACACAAGGGTCAGGCTCATTTTTTTCCCCAACACCTGTTCAGGGCTGACTTTACTGCTACGCAACTGATCCAGTGATGTCGAATATCACGCTTGATGTCTGTCCTCCTGTCAGCCTTCCCTAAATCCCAGTCGACAGTGCACTGAAAGTGGCCCGACTCTGTAGCGATCTCCTCAGGGTTGTCACTCACTTTCAACCCTGGAGCTCCAAAGGAAAGGGAACTGTAATGAGCAGTTACACTGGGCTCAGCTGCTGGGAAATCCTGCTGGGTGAGGTGTGACAACAGGAAATGAACTGACACAGCTACAGGCCCAGCAGCAGAGACCAGGCCGTGTGGCCTTATTGATTATGCAGGTGCTCATTTATGTAGCCAAGCAAGTAGGAGGCACGTGTCTCATTTGATCTTTACAGGAGTGGAACAGGATCTAACATCCCTACAGCAAAAAAAAAAAAAAGGTATCCCCGGTGCCTTATTTTTAGAGCAGCTGCGTCTAATGGGGCCTGGCAGGTACAGGAGGCGTCACATCTGTCGAGGCCCAGGTGACGCTCGTCCTTCCACTCCTCACCGTTCCTCAACTTCTTTCCGACCAGTCAAATGACTCACACTGAAGATCAACAGTGTCATTTCCAATATCTCTTCTCCCTCTTCCTGCCACGTTCCATCAGTTCTAGCGATGGGGTCTTGTGAGCAGACATTTCATTCCACCAACAGTGCAGAAGAGGAGATGCATAATGTAAAAGATGTAAGAGGAGATCACTCCTGTGTCTACTGCTGGTGGACCAGGATGATTTAGGAGCGATGAGGAAATCCAGCCTTCTGACTGACAAAATATAAAGATATTGAGCCCATACATCTGAGCCAGAGTGCCCCCCTCTGGAGCTCAGGCAGCAGTAAAGATATTGGTGTAAATGGAGCTGCCCTTCAAACTTAATGAGAAAAGACTCTGCAAATCTCACTCCAGTTAAATATTGACTAGAAAATGCTCTCATGACCAGGAAATATTGATCAGCAAAAAAAAAAAAAAAACAAAAAAAAAAAAAAAACAAACCTGGACTCACTTTGGCACATCTAGAATTTAAAGTCATATAATATTGTTTTATGATGCAGGGCTTTTCTACTTTTCCTTTACTGTACACCTGTTGTCTTACAAATATCAGATTAATAGACGATGTATTTCATAATTTATATCTATGTTTAATAGTCTGGGAAAATCCGTGTTGAGTTATAAGATATTACTAACCTATTTTGGGGGCAGGGGTACATGAAAACACACACACACACACACGCAAGGAGAGTATGCAAACTACACACTTGACTTGAGATTCCACAAGGATCGAACCAATACACACCTGCTGTTTTCTCTTTTAAATCGTTTTGCTTGATTTTAATTTTTTTCCTAAATCATCAACAGAAAACACCATTTGTAGGTTCTCTTTGACATCCATATTTAAATATAAATTCACAACAAAAAAAAAGCTACATGAGAATGCTGTGTCATTCCAAGGCTCATAGGCACTATTTGGAATTCTTTATGGTTTTTGCACTGACATTTAGCTTCAATAACTGAGGAGTAAGTGAGAGGTCCTGCAGTTAAACTCTACAGAATAAAGTCAATTTAAACAGCTTTGGAAAAAATGCACAATGTGATAGAAAAAAAAGTGTAAACTCTACAAGATGCACGGATCTGATAAATCACAGTCCTGACTTTATTTTGCCCTGTATTAATAATGCCTTATAGCCTCAGACTTCCCACACAACATGTATTTATATTAAATGCACCAGAATAGAACACAGTACACAGTGGCTGAGCTAACAGGAGCCTGTGTTGCTTTTCTCAACTTTACCTTTAGACAGTGTGTGCTGAAGTTATAAAAGGGAGACCTTTAAAACTCAGTGGGATATTACTCTTTGCCCGGCAGTAAACACGGCTGACACAGAGTTTACTCTCGCTTGTTGTTGCTGAGACAATGTAACACCATGTTCAGGCTGCATGTTCTCTCTCATCTTAGAGACACAAGCACGCAAACAAACAATTAAGGCGTTTGTCAACCGGGGCAAAAGGCTCCTGTTCACGTTCCAACCTGGACCTGAAAACGACGACGCTCAAGAAATAGCAGCTGCAACGTGCATCAGTGTGGCAGATTTAAAAGCTCACTCCAAAACATCTGTGAATACATCACAACCTCCCGTCTACGAGGAGCGGCACGACACACAGAACTCAGATCTACAATAACAGCAGCAGCAGCAGCAGGTTCTAACACAGCAAAGTGCGGATAAAAGGGGAGGGGGGACGGGGGGTGTTGACTTGCACAAGTTGCTCTCAGTTCAGCAGAATGGTGCCAGCAGCTGTAGCATTTGTCTCTTCTCTCCTCTCTCCCACCGCCCCTCCGCCTCCCCCCCTCCATCCTCACCATCCAGAGGACAGGAAGCTGTTCGTGGGAATGCTGGGAAAGCAGCAGAGCGAGGATGACGTCCGGCGGCTCTTCGAGACCTTCGGCCAGATCGAGGAGTGCACCGTCCTGCGAGGGCCTGATGGGGCCAGTAAGGGTCAGAGCCCACACTCCTCCCACTCTCCCACTTGTTTCCCTGTCTGTCCCTCTACATCCTTGTCTGTCTTTGCTCACTCACTCACTCACACACTCTCTTTTCCTGGGTTTTATAGCCAAGCTTCACCCGCCGTGCACTCATTGACATTGCCTGCAACCCACTTTGCTCTTTACCCCTCATTCATCCCTTCAACCATTTCCCCTTTCCCAGCACCACTTAGGCGTCTAAGTCACTTTTTCCTTATAGTTCCTCACACAGAGCTCTGACACCTTTGTTTGCCACCCCCACCACTCTCTCAACCACTTTTCTGATCACACATTTTCTTTTCACATTTTTTGTCCTTTCCCAAACATCTTTTGTGTCATCTTTTCATCACAGCATCCTCTCTGCAGTACCGGTTTAACAAATACATCACCATACATGCATCAACAACAGGCCTTTCAGCCCATTCCTCCTGTCCCCATTATTTATAAAGGGTGTAATGATGTTTATTTTCCACTTTCCTCCCATGAGACGCCACTGGACGATAGTGCTCCACTGGAAATAAAACAGCCAGGTTCTGGGCTCGTGCTGCTGTTTTTCACTCGGTGGTAAATTTGCATTGGTTCAGGAATAGTTTATGCATACATGGCTGAGGCTCGTGTGCTACTTACTAAGCAGAGCGTGGTCAGAGTAAAGATGGTTGTCAATAAACGTGAAGGAGGTGTGAGTGGGACAGAATCTGAATCATCTTTTGATGGATCCCTGTCCCACATTCAGAATACAAGTAAAACTACATGAAACCTCTACTACTCTTCGTCTCTACACGCGCTGCACATTTTATAATATAAAGCACATTGGTGCCAGTGTTGGTTTTGTCCATATATAATATTTATTCCAAACCATAGTCAATGACCTTCCTTTGTAAGACAAAAAATAAACACAAACAAGACAGAACTGGGCAGTCAGAGCTATGATTGTTGCCTTGAAGGGAAACAGACAGACAACCATAGTCATAGAATAAATACAAGATACTATGATACTAATAATACTACACATGACCTTGTATACAGTTAATATAATGTAATATTGTATAATATGCTGTAATATAAACTGTTCAATAAACATTAATACTTTAATTAATATCAATACTTAACTGTTCATAATTAATGCATTTTCACCCTCCTTAACAGAAGACTATTAGAGACCAATTAAGATTTTATAAACAATTTCATACAGTTGATTAACATGAATAACACATTGCATTAAGTTGACTTTATTAATTTAAATATATTCCACTACAATAATTTCAATAATCAATTCAATACAATGTAACTGAAACAGTTTTACTGACTCAACTGGGACAGAGATTAGTGACAATATACAGTAGTCCGAAGACTAAGACTAGGATTAAAATCCAAAATGACTGTAAAAATGTAACCACTGCTGAGAGGTCAAAGGGGCATTGAATAAATCAAAGAATATTATATTAGAGAACATGTTTTCTTATGCACACATCTATTCATGTTCTTCTGTATGGTTCAGTCCACGTCACCTCACCAGCCCACTTCCTGTCCTCACCCTGGTTTGTTTCCTGTTCACTGTGACATTCTGCCTCTCCAGCTCCCTGTCTTCCTGTCTGCTCAGATGCCTCAAGCTGACTGACAGCACATAGTTAAATGGAATAAGGCCAGGGCTGCTGCTGTTCCCCAGAAAAGCTAACGTACTGTCTGGTTCACACCTTCGCTGCTCTTCACCTCCCTGCTCCCTTCTCACCTGCTCGTCCACCCTCTCCCCCTCTCACATGCCATGTGTTTCTTCTGTTGTGCTTCGTCTCCATCTTTGCTGGCTCCTGTTTCCTAGTTTGACTAACCACCACCACCACTGTACAGTTACAGATCAAAGGTCAAATCCAGTGCATGGCGTCAGGTCCTGCTCGATGTTTAACAGTCCCACACAATCATTTACGAGATGTTACGGCAAATTATTTCGCCAGCCTTCGTGCTGGGAATGACGTCCCCATAATGTGAATGAGACAGACCTTGAAATTGACAGTGCTATCTGTTCCACAATGAAGGCTTTGTCCCCTGTTGATGTAAATTTATGCTACTCAGAAGCTTTTCAGCACTCCACATCACCCAATAAAAAAAGGCCAAGAAGTTTAACATCCATCTCTCTATGCCATTGCTCCTCAAAGTACTTTCAAAGTGTTACACTTGCTGTCAGAGTTGAATAGAGCCTGGAGTTGTCAGGAATAATAGAGAGATGGCTTTTAGGTCTATAATTAAGTTGTGTTATAAATGTCATCCATCCACTGGAATGGAATTCATGCATACATATTATTATCCTGGGAATTCAAAAGGCGGTGCAGATCCTCTTGCTTGAAAGCTATATAATTTTTTTTTTTTTTTTACTCTTTTCCGCGCCTCATTCCGAGCCATCACATTCAAAAACTCAAATGCGCACTATAATTTATGAGTCTGTGTCATTTTCACTTCTTTTGAAATGTTTTGCTCTGTGTCCCCTAACTTTTTCTAAGGTCAGGAGAAACAAGGCCGGGGTTGTTTCTTTGAGGACACTTAACATGACGTGTTCATTAATGGTGTGTGCCAAAGCCCTACACTTTTGAATGCCTCTCTGGCTCGGGTGCGTTGCCATGGCGAATGGGACCCTAGCGCAATATCCGATAGCCCTGACAGTGAGCTTACAGCGAGTTATCTTGCCCTACAAAAGCAGAAGGCTTTTGTTAGAACAGACTGCCTCTCATAATTTCAGCCACAGACGTTAAATGCCTTTGCCCTCCCAAATACAGATATGCTGTAGAATGGCACACAGTTGGCTTCTGCACAAGTGAAAATCTTCTCTGCCTCAATCATAGGGGCATTCAGCTTAAATACATGGATTCTGCGGGTCTGTCTGCCTGCCTCTGATCATCCATACAGCTTTGAAAACAGTTGACAGGATGTATCAAGTGGGTTGATGGTAGGATTGATGGGAATATTTTCATAATTATGTGCGTATTGTGATTGTCTTGTCCATTGGTTTATTTGAGCTAAATTGGTATATAGATAGATTTGATTTGAACAGGTATTCTAAATTTATAATACAACATGTTAACACTCGTTGAATCCTGTCGTCATGTCTTCATCCAGCTTTGGATTTAGTTTCATTTGATCATGTTTATTAACTCGCGTGTTTGACTTATTCAAGCTTTGCGTCAGGTTTTGGTCCAACTTTTGTCTTTTGGATCTCTTTCAGTTCAAATAACCTCCAGAATTCTTTCTCTGCATATTCTATATATTCTGTTACACAGCAGTTGGGGACAAAAGGCTCCTGCAGTAGCACTTTACAAAATTTCCATGTTCTATTCAAGGAAACCTGAACCTAGAATTATATGTGACTTAGACCATGAAGTCTTTTCACAGAGTTATACCTTGAAACCACAGTTTTGGGCCACATACCTACTTGTATTTCTTATATTCAGTCCGTAAATGCTTTCTTTGACAAAGGTGCACAATTAGCAGCTGGAATTAATTGAAGGTTTTTTTAATTAGGTATCTCTTGACATAATTCATGAGCTACCTGCAGGCAAGGATAAGAATAGGACATAACAAAGTATCTTTTGCAATGTATGAAAATTATAAAACTAAGAGAAATGGCTTTTATTTAATCTAATGGCTTTTGGGACATTTCCACATTTCAGTTCCACTCTGATTCAGTTTACTTGCTTCTTCTCATGTGATAATGTAGTGCTGGTCCTCAGCTACACAATAACAATGACATTAAGGACATGCACGCCTCAGCCTGACTATTGGATATTGTACAGCGTTGTTATCTATCTTAACTTTTTAAATGCAATTTCCAGTTTAACGCCAGTCTAATGGTCCTGTTCACCGCTGCCGCCTGCATTCATCCTCTTGTTTCCCGTCCAACTTTGTTGTGTTGACTTTTTCCTTTTGTGCAATAACAACAAAACAGATTTAAGGTACTTTGAATGCCCCTTGAGCAAAATCCCTCTCCATCTGAAAATATGTGTGCACCGATTTGGTTTGATAGGCAGATTATAATACCATGCCTTTGTCATCATAATCTCTTTTATGAGTGACTGCACACAAATCGCAGTGTGTAAATATTAAACAGATTAATAATCACAAACAAGTCAGACAAGCAAATGCCTTCGCTTCATCCCCCAAAGTGGAAGGGAGGGAATTAGGAGTAAGAAAGGGATAGAGCGTCCCTCGGAGCAAATGCCTTCCCTAAAATTAGACTCATTTATTCAGACATGCACCAAACACACCAATGGCAGGATATATTTACAAACCAGATTACACGGAGAGAAAAAAAAGATGGTAATGAGAGGTTTTTCTCTCATTTTCAAGGCTGCCGCCCTTTGTTAGTCGCCTCACTTGTATTCCTCCCTTTTTCTCTCTTTTCAGGCTGTGCCTTCGTGAAGTTCTCAAGCCACGCAGAAGCGCAGGCTGCCATCAACAGCTTACATGGTGGACAGACTATGCCTGTGAGTAACATACATATACTGTGAATATATATATATATATATATATGCATAAAAAGTGTTTTTTCTTATTGCTATCGCTTACCCTACTGGACACTGTCATAGAAAACACTATATTTAGATGGATTCACCCTCCATTGTCATGAGTAAAGCCCTGGAGTCACCCAGAGGGAGAGAAAAGAGTTCAATTAAAAACTGCATAAACTTTGACGATGCAAATGATAACTTTTGGAAAGCTTAGCTTAATTAACAGCTGCATACATATTTATATATGTATATAATTGAATTTATAAAATGGCACTGTGTCCCTTAAGAAGTGATGAAATTCACTACTAAGACGGTACTGTATATATGTGGTAAACCCAGGGGGGTTTCTGTTCATTGTATAATAAATTCAAGGAGCAGCAGCCATATTTTTCCATAGACTTCCAGCCATACAAAGTTACACCTGAAACCAGTCCTGTAGCTCAGGTAGACTTGGTTTTCTTCTGGGATTTCACAACCATGCACCTGGAACACTGGTAGACTCCCCATGTACTGTAGTTTCAAAAAGAATGAAGTCTACCTGTTTTTAATCAGAATTCTGATTGTTTTTACATTCTGCTAGACACTTTCAGAAACCCAGACAACAAAGATATCAGACACCTACGTCCTATCACTTCTTTGGCAGATGCATTCAGATGGGTTGTACATTACTTCTTGTACTCTGTACTGTACACACTCCATAAGTACAGTCACAGCAGACTTCTTTCAAAGCACATCAACAGTCCAGTCTCACGTACATTCTCACTGTGTTATCACACACACAAAAGATTCCCCACAGTCAGCATCCACCACCTCTCGGCCCACCGCTACATCTTTCTTGTCTTTCAGTATCCATTTCTCTCCCCTGCTATTCAAAACCACCTTTTCAGCAAATATGATGGAATATGTGATAGAATATTATATTATAAGATGTGATACCCCCGCAATGCATACAAATCACTGAATGTGAAGATATGGTGCTTTTGTCAGTATGTCGTTGTCATCGCAGCGGTTCCATAGTGTAGAGGTTTACAAGCAGAAAGTGGATAGTCCTGGGTTCAATTCCCACAGGGACCACATATCCCTAATGGTGTTCCTGTATCAGCTACAAAGCCGCAACTGTAAAATCCCCCATTGTGGGAGGAACAAAGGACTCGAATTATTGTTACTGTTAAATTATGCATCTGAACGTCAACGGATCAACAAGTAAAAAAAAAAAAAGAAAATAGTTTTAAACAATGTGAAATAGTCCGTAGTAATAAATCACTTTAAGATATACAGTAGTGACTTAACAGGCCATTCATTTTTCACTCATTCACTTTGCCACTCAATCCTTTTCAGGGCAGCAGGAAGTGCTGGAACAAATGCCAGCAGGCAGTGGGGGGAGGCAGGGCCACACCTTCGACAGTTCACCAGCTCATCACTGGGGCACATACAGAGACAAGCAAACATTCAGTCTCATTCATTTAAACCTATGATTAAACAGATTCTCCCATAAATGTAGTCTACATGTTTGCAGAGAGGCAGGAACCATGAGAACCCACACACACACTCGGGGAGAACCTGCAAACACATCTTAATTAAACACATGTAAAGTTGAGAAATCGTGAAGGCTTATGGTAGGAGTAGTGAGTTTCTTTTGTACTGGACACTGTACTGAACAACTGGACATGCAGATGAGCATTTCGCATTTCGCAGTTTCGCACTTTCTGGCAAACACACACCCTCACACCCTCCACGGACAGTTTGCAATAAATATTTACAGATACTTCCTGGCCGCCTGATCGTGTTCAGGCAGCCAAATGTAATTTACACATGTTTTTGCTGCTGCTTCCTTCTGTAAGTAGTGGTAGAGGGAGTTAGGTATCTCTTGAAGTCTCTTTGTGGTTAGTTCCAAAACAATACGCTCGTCGCCTACTAATCATTCCAATTTCTTTTCTTTTTTTTGTCATCTGTTGAGAACCAAAATCCTAAATCTGGACTCTAAATATTTGTTTACTCAATCAAAGAGGCTTTGCCTTGAAAATATTTACCTGTGTTGCACTGAACAACTTGACTATTGACTTTGAATCTGGATTTATAGGCTGTGGCCTGTTCTCCTGTATGGTGGTAACTAAATTAGAGTCTATAATATTTTGTCAAGAACAAGTCATCTCACTGGAACCAAAGCATCATTGAAATACTGCAAAGCCTAAGTTGTGAGAACAAAGCTAAGGAAGATACGCATACAGTACACAGGTGGTAAAGTTTTCTAAAGTACTGAATTTGTAAATAGGTAATAGAAACTGGCAAATAGAAACCGAACGTGACAGGTTGTAGTGCTGTGGTTTAATCTCTTTCTTAATGACACCTAATGATACCACAGGCACACAGGTGTGCTTTAGAATAGTCTGTTAATAGGTGTGAGTACAAAATCTCATTGTAATTTACTGATCTCGCAGAGCATTAGTAATGATATTTTGAGAACTTGCACTGATATTCTGTGCAGATTTAGCACTGAAATGTGTGGCTGTTCAGATTTGTTTTTCTTTGTCAGCAGTGGCTGTTCAGATTTGTTTTTCTTTGTTTACTCGAACTCCAACTCCAACTGTGACTGTCTTGCGATTTATGTTTATGTATTTATGTGTCTATTTGTTTGTGCGGTTCATGTGAAAGTGTGTGTCCTTCATATAGGCATACAGTACTAGAGGGATTTTATTTTTTTTAAATACCACTGTTGATGGGAAATGTTGTCCTTTTGGAGACAGTTCCCTACGGTAGTGAGCATACATTGGTAATAGTTAATGTTATTGTAAGGGGAATGGGAATGCAACAAAGTTTGTTTGTGCACTGTCTGTGTGTGTGTGCATGGTGTATGGGTTTTTGTGTTGGTGTGTTCCCAGCACAGCAGTATCACAAAGCCACCTGAGGTCTGCTGCAGATGAACTGTCCAAGCAGCATATGGAGCCACAAACAGGCCTAGGGCGGATCAGGAGCTATCCAAAAGTTCATTAATAATCTATATTTTATATATCTCCATTTTTCTATCTCTGCACCTGTTATCCACCTCTGCCAAACCCAAACTTCCACTCAGATTAATCGGCATGTTGGCCATTAGAATCCAACCAAGACTTTGGTACCGGTGAGGGATGCAGTTAATTTGGACGATAGCACTGCCACATGTCATCAACAACAGACTAACAGGAGGCAGGATTCACAGAGTTGGGCTGCACTGCTCTGTGCCTGCTGCCAGCTGTGAGATCTGGATGAACCTTGAACAAAGGCAGTGTGTCTCCCTGCCTCAAAATGCTCCCTCTACAGCATCTCTGTTACCCGACACACCTAACATATGCTGTAAATAACCTCCTCCTCCTCCGCCATAGCACACACAAAAGCTTAAACACAGGAGATGCTATCAAACGGTATGGACCATCAGACTGAGTCCTAGTTTTAATGGATGCTGATTGGCAGTTTCAGGTGCTTTGTTAAGACAACTCTTATTCCATTACTGCACAAAGCTGCAAGAGTAGGTGACGGAACTTCAAATGGCAAGGCTTAGGGCAGGCAGACAGCAGCCGGCAAACTGCACACACATTGTCATGTTCAGTGTCACAGTCTGGCTGACAAGGCCCGTGGAAGTTGCCAGTGACGGCAGCAACAAGAGCAAGCATGTGTGTGATACAATCATTCTGGATTAATGAGAGATAAGACTGAACCAAAGTTCACTGTCGCTGTAATATATGAGTCCCATTATGAGTCCCTTTACACCAGAGCAGTCAGGATGTAGGCCGACTTACCATATGGAGTTAAAGTTTCTTCACTTCACAGATAATGACAACATAAACTGTCATTTATGGACATAATTCAAGTAATATGAAAATATTATGGCTATCAAATGATTCAAATTAAAACGATTAGAAATTGACAAATCACAGTGTAGCTGTGGATTAATCACGATTGATAAATGGTGATCGTAAATCACAATTAATCATGATCGATCAAGAAAAATCAACATTTCTACATATGAAAAAAAATCTAGAACAGAAGTAGCAGAATGTAGATGTATCTGGTTCACACCTGTATTAATATGTCGATATGTAAAAATAAAACAAAAATATAATGTATATAATGTAGAGTAGGTGGACTCACAGTGATATTACTGGACATACAGTGCATGTCGATTTGCCCATGCATTAAAATGTGTTAATAAATTGAATCTGATTAATTCACAAATTGTTCAGTTCAATTAGTAATACTTTTAACAGCCATAGAAATAATACATTTTACATGAGTTGGTTGAATATGCAGTGCAGAGATAAATAGTTTCCTTCCGTCTTTTGGCTTATTAAAAAATGCCTGCCATCTGTAGTTGAAATGGACGGACAGCAAAGACCAGACTGTCCACAATTAATGAGGCGGTCTTCGGATGAAGGCTAGACCTAACACAATCTACCAAGGTTTGGAGGATGAACACACTATCTTTTGGAGCCTTATTCAATTACCAAACAAACGTATCACGTTGTATTTAGTTGGTTTTTAACAAATTATGGATTTGCAAATTAAATCCTGAGAAAATTGAAGCTGAATTTGTTCACTCATTAATGGCTGACACTTGGCATGCATTTCACAATTTTTAAAATAGCCGTATCTTTAACAGACAATTCTTATGTTGTCAGTGAAAGCTCCACGTTGGAGCAAAAACATCACGTCAAATGACCTCTGCTCCCGCTCACTGGTGTTATTCCACAATTGCGATTATTTGTTTTAAGGTATCGCTGACTCATTTCAAATCATATCAGAATGAATGTGAGCATTGGGAACATTTAACTCACAATTTCCTGTCATATCAATACTTTCAGCACAGCCCTAATTATATTGCTGTGAGCGTCTGCAGAGAAAGAAAGGTGAGTGTTTGCCTGTTAGCAGACACTTCACACTGTTCCCTGTGTAACAGTAATGCAGAGATAAGGAACAATGCCAGTTTAGTCCTAATCCCTTATTTACTGTTGTGGGTTTTTTCTTTCTTTACACGTTTGTGGCCTATAGAAAATCCAATATAGGAGATTTTCTCCAGTCAAGTGTGCTCTTCAAGAAATTTGATTAGTTTTTGAACCTGTGACAAATTCCTTAGTTGTAACTGTCAAAAGTGAAGGCTCCCAGTTGGCCCTTATCAAATTCAGAAAATTCATTTCCTCGCCAGGTAAAGGAGTCCTGCCGGTGGAGGTTATTATTCTGTTTGTTTTGTCAGCTTGTGATTTTCTGCTACCAGTGAGGAGTGGCTGTTTTGCATCCAGTGCTTGTTGTGTGCCGCCACTAGTTCCTTCATTATCTGGCCACATATTAGTTTTGTTCCTATTTGTGGAGAGGAACTTTTGATCCATGGAGCTGGTCACACTTTAATCTCAGCTTTTTTGATTAGATCTAACATCTAGGTCGAACGCAGTGTCTTCAGAGGTGAGCATGTGACATTTCATCCTCATGTAAAGATATTTATTTTTCACTGTGGAGGGGATATTTTTACCTCTCATGAAAGTGCCCTCTGACATGGAGTGGCAGTGCTGACAATACACACAAAGGCAGTTGTAAAGCTTTGGAGCTGCTGCCAACGCTGCCAAGACACTGCAGTCTGGTTTTGCTCCCGCACCGTCATCTACATCAGAGCACTCTGCTGGGAGAAGCCAGACCAGACTCGGCTCACAGTCTGGCTTCGTCTGGCTGGAGTCACGGTGCAGTGAGCACAGGCAGCCGCAGGCTTTCACAGCCCTGATGCTCGTAATGCATTCTTCATGAGGTATTAAATGAATATAAGAATACACAGATACACAAAGCAGAAAATGAATGTGATCTAAATGCCAGTGCCCTGCGCTGTGTGCAGACATCAGCAATATCGCTGGAGGAGCATATTTGCTTAGTGCCAGCCTCATTAAATCCAACTGCCAAGTCCCATCAGCTGGCCCACAACACTGAAACAAAAAATGAAAAAGGTCAGGAGGTGGAAAGGAATGAAACTAGGAAAAACACCAGCGTTCACACCGTCATGTCGGACTATTGATTTAATTAATTGAAATGGCTTCAAGGGAGACACACCAGATGGGTCTCCTCCAGCCCTAGGTAGGGTACTGCCTGCCCCTGATAGGATCCTATCTGAGATGCACTGTCCCTGAGGTGCATGCTGATGCCACCCTTCATTGCCGAGCCTTTTTCTCCACAGTTATCTAGAGGCAACACATTCTGCAGGTTGCGTTAATAGAATGTTTCCAAGACACATTTTCACATAGGTTAGTGAAATGGCTTGCAAAAACATACTAGAAAAATAAATTCTTATTTTTTTATTTTTTTTATATATCTGGCAAATGATAGCCTACTGGGAACAGTGCTGCACAGAGAGTGGTCAAAATGACACACATTTGAAAATAATACACATTTCACACCTTTTGTGTGTTTTTGAAATGCATCAAAAACTGTTGCGAAAACCACAGCTCAACGCACAACTCAGCACTTAGAACACCTCGAGAAATTGCCCATTAAATGGCACCACTGCCAAGAACTTCCTGATTTAAAAACCTGGGTTTCTATAGGAAATCCTCATCAATGTTTGTTTAAATTAAAAAGAACAAATGCCAGCAATCCAAATTGTGGCTTCTTTCTGTTGACTTTTCCTCTGCAAAGACTTGTTTAGGCAGCACAAAAAATGTAACTCCATCCCATAAAACATCAGATGGCGTGTGGATTTGAAGCACATGTAAAAAAGAAAAAAAGTCGATCAGTAGAGCATGGCTTTAACTCGTGTTTTACATTGTTCTTGTTTAAGACTACAGTGAATTACACAGTTGATGCCTGTGTTTCTCTGTATTTCTGTTTTGCATTTGAACCTTTAATTTTCAGGCATCGGACATATAAATAAGGCATATAAATTAAATAAAATGGTATTTGTAAATATAAACTTATTTGAATTTAACATATTTAGACAGATTTGGAAAACCTGTAGTCGTCTTTTTCAGATTCTTGTCTTTACTGTGATCAGGTAACAAATCTGGATTTCATTGATTCATTGATACTTGAGTCGTAATCTTATTTGCAACAAAATCCAACAACCCTATGAATATTACTGGTCAAACTAGTGTTTTTGCCCTAAATAATAGTTATAGCACAATTATAAATGTTATTAAATTGTAGGAAACTGACAATTAATGTTCAACATCTCAGTGAAATGTATGCTGTGGTGTGTTTTGTCTGCAGTAATCAACTCCAACACAGCATGTATGAAGAATTAGTCACACTAAGCAGCTAAGTCAGTGTCTGCCACTGATTGATATTTACACCCAAAGAAAATGTGATTGTATTGAATACAGGTTGAGTTAGTGGTGACCCCGTCATAAAAGTCTTTCTCTCCTTGTGTCTTTGTGTTTATGAAATTACTAATCATATCCCGACTGGCCCCTGGCTCTCTGTGTCCTTCTCTCCTGCTCCGTCTATGTACTTTTTCCCAGCATGCATAGCCTGTAATTAAATAGGAGCCTGGCCTTGGTGACAGTGCTGTAGCTGCTGTTCTCTGCCTGGCAGCCTCGTCAGTCTTCCCTTGTCTTCTCTCTCTATCTGTCTGTAGATGTCTCTCTGTTTCTCACTCATGCAAAGACACCCTCCCGCCCTCTCTCCTTGCCTGGATGTCACACGAGGAAGTGACTCTGGTCTCTGTCTCTCAAATGATTTAATTGGATGCAAACTCAGGAGCATGGACATCAATATGGAACTATATCTGCCATAAGGCAGAGCCATTAGTCAATACTTCACCCTACACACACCCAAGGCTTTTGTCAGACCTAATTACCCAGGATTGTATTCAGTGGAGCTTCGGCAGAAGGTTGACTGTGACTCCTGGGGGATCTGCTTAGGATCACACTTCACTACCAGTGTGTACAGTGGAGTTGGAAAGTTCACCAAAGCAAATATCACTCACCGTTCCCTTCCATTTAGTGCTGACAGCTAAGTGACTGCAGTAATGTGCATATTCAGCTCTGCTGATTTACATGGTTTGGAAAGTTAAGGTCTTGACACAAGCTTGACGCAGTGACACAGATCAGCTCTACCTGCTTGATAACATTTTGTTGTAGGTCGTTTCTCATGAGGAGAATAGACGACAGACTTGACAGGGAATATGTAGTCACGTCAGACACTAGTGATCCTTCTGCTTTGTGCTTATTTAAAGAGAAAAAATGCCTTTAAAAATATGTGTCACTTTGGATATACTGTAGAGATCTGCAGTACTGAAGAAAATACAGTAGGTAAGAGAATCAGAGCAGAGAGTAATTCTCCTTGCAATTTCATTTCATTTCAGACCGTTCATTTTGCCTCAAAATAGTGTCACATGTGTAATGTAACATGAAACGTCTCCTAATAAGACTTCACCGTGCGTGTCATAATCCATCATCTCTGGTGCTGCCAAATCATTTTCCACTATCACTACATCATGACTTCTATCTTTAGAAACAGTAGTCGAGCAAATTAAATTATCATCACCATAATTTGAAGCCCTTATCTGAGTGGATAATTTAGACTCTGAATGATTGTTGACACACATGAAGCTTAATGATACTGATCAACAGCTCTAGTCCTAATCAATTGACTATTAATAACTTTATGTCTTTTCCTGTTATGTGTGTTTTTATTCCATGATTACAGGCTAACACATAAATACAAGGGTCTTGTTAGAAAATGATTTATTTTGCAATGCACTTGTAATGATGTTCTGAGTACGTTCAGCTGTGCTGGACTGGGCCACACTGTGGAAGAGAGTATTACTGATGCTTTCTCTGTGCACGGCTTAGAGTAATTGGAGACTCCCTATAGGTATACATATGAGTGTGAATAGTTTTTGCGACTATATTTGGTCCTTTAATATTGTAGGATTTGCTCCAACTGAACCAGTGACCATGAAATGGACCTGGTGGTAGCAGACCTTTAAAAAATGCTGAAATGGGCCATGAGTTTCCTCTAAGCCAGATGTGTGACTTACTCTGTCGAATCTCTGTATAATAAATATAGACTAGACTATTTACTAATCTTGAAAACATCAATGTCCCACCAGGGTGCCTCGTCCAGTCTGGTGGTTAAGTTTGCAGACACAGATAAAGAGAGGACCCTGCGTAGGATGCACCAAATGGCTGGCCAGCTCGGCATCTTCAGTCCAATGACCATCCAGTTTGGGGCCTATGGCGCCTACTCTCATGCTGTAAGTCTCAGCCCGGCGGGGGAGGAGACGGTGAGCTTTAAAAACAAACATCAAAAACTGTTTTGCGGTTTTTACTTGTATCTCTCAGGCACGTGAGAACCCATCATTTCCTATGACTAATCTGCTGTTTCAGTCAGAATATACAAATGTTTCTAGGAAGAGACAGTAGAACATTTTAAATAAAAAAATGACTTTATTCCTATATTTTTCCAATGTTATATTATTTATTGTTTGATAATATAAAATATTAATTTACTGTTATTTATTTTTTTCAATATATTTTAGGCTGTCTAATGTTATTTGTATTATATACTTTATTATATTATTATTATAATATATAATATAATATAATTATATTATTTATTATACTGTATACTGAAAACATTTTTTTTATGTGCTGTCCATTCCAAAAGTATCAGCCTTGGGTTTTTAGTGTAGTAACAACGTACTGCTTGTAGTACTTATTTGACACACTATATAGAGATTGCACACATCTAGTTTCCTCTTGTTATCCCACTCTAATCCCAACTTCATATTCACACATAAGAGTCACAGCCTGAGTTAGAAGTTTGTGAGATTTTTCACCCAGGCAGTTGCTAACTATTCACGCCGACAGGTGAGAATCACCTACCCACTCACCCACTCACAGACTCACTCACATTTCTTGATAAATTTGCCACTGTTTCCTTGTTTTCAAGACCACAGTTCAATGTATAAATATATAAATAGTCTCTGGCTTACCAACCAAATCTCCTCACACAGTCTTTATCATATGTCAGTATAATGAGCATAAGATCAAAGTGGTGTCAGGGAGTAGCTGGGCAGCAGCGCTGCAGGGCAACACAGATCACTCTGTTCAAGAACAAGGCACGGGCCAAGCAAACAGAGATGTGAGAGTAAACATGTTCTGTTCCTGCGGCTATTTCACCCTCCTTTCCTTTTCTGTCCTTTCCTCCATGCCTCCGTTCGCCTCTCCTCCCCACTGCTCTTTAATCCTACAGCAGATGATGCAACAGCAAGCAGCCCTGATGGCAGCGACACAAGGGTCCTACCTGAACCCCATGGCAGCCATTGCTGCCGCACAAATGCAGCAAATGGCAGCTTTCAATGTCAACGGCCTGGTGGCTACACCCATGACACCTTCCTCAGGTATATACTCGCACACACGCACACTGTCAGCAGCGCGGCAGCAAACACACACACGACAGAATCCCTCTTAAATTCTGAACAACAACAAATAAAAACTGTTGTCTTACTGAGCGTTCAGTTGAATTTAAGGCCTTTCTTCTTTAGCCTTGTTACATTTCCAAGCAGGTGTCGTAAGGCCTCGTACATCACACTGAAACAGATACCCCCAGTGTTAAATTAAAGGAAGCAGAGCCTATTATTGAGTGAAGCATGATGGGGGAAGATGTACAGCGTTCCTTGACACTCAATGGCAGCCACATTATAGTCTCTCGCTCTATGGGTCTCTCTCATTATCTCTCTCGCGCTCACACTGTCTGTCGCTTTCTCCCTCTGTGTCTCTGTGACAGTGTTTGTTTTCTGGGAACACAGCCAATCCGATGACTTTGGATTCAAAGTCCTTGGCTTATAAGAGCATAGATTTGTGTGCGATAATCCCGGACCCCGGTCTGAACTATCCTTTTGGTCGTTGTCATGAAGAGCTTTGAAGGCTCGACACTAAGTAGGCAGGCTGCCTGAAGACAGGGTCACTGCAGATGTATTAAATAAAAGAGGCTTGATGCTTTCTCTGGCATTTGTAATCCACGAGCCCTACATATACCTGGTAATGCCCATCACACATAATCCTACAAAATCTAAATGCCCTTCACCTGGATTAAAAATATAATAACCTGTCAACACAAGGGGGCAGGGAAAAGGTAACATCCTTCACTACTAGGGCAAAGGAAAACGTGGAAAAAAGTCTAACTAACTTTATATATATATATATATATTTATACTGTATATATACACCTTATTTTCATAACTCAATGTTGTTTCTGTTTGTGCTACTTTTAAATGGACCTCAAGAGCAAAGCATATGGATATAAGCTCATATAATGTATGCAACTTGAGAAAAATCCAGTGCAACCTTTTTCCCAGTTTCACTCTTAATCTGTGTGATAGCCTGACAGACTTCACTTGTTGTGCATTTAGTTCTGGTTGAATTCATATCAATTTGTACAAAACACCACTGAAGCTCCTTTGTGGGTCAAACAGATAAAAAAAACTTGTCCTCGTGAGGAAACCACGACGTCCCTGTTGTGTAGTACTATATTTGTGCGGATGTAGTAAAAAATACACCACTGTTGTACTTCTAAGAATGAACCCCATGATTTCCACACCCTGCAGTTTTCATAATTGACTGTGTAAATATTCACAGGCACCAGCACACCCCCAGGCATCTCTGCTGCAGCCGTGCCTAGCATAGCCACCCAAATCGGGGTCAATGGATTCAGTGCCCTCCCTCCGCAAAGCAATGGTCAGCCCACCTCTGAGCCCATCTACACCAATGGTATTCACCCATACCCAGGTGAGCCAATCAAGGTTAACAAAGAACATGAAGTATATATCTGTAACATCCACTGTCGTGAGAACGCTGCTCCGACCCTGACACGTCATACAACCTCGTCCTCCAAGAGATGTATGAATGTTTGATTATTCTCTAATGTTGTACTTGAAATGAATTAGAACGTCACATAATTGCCATGCCGCGGGTTCAGCTTGTCAGCAGTGACAAACACTTTTTACTTTTTATACGTTGCTAAGACTCCTCTCTATACTACGACTGATGAAGAAGTATGAGGCTTCAGGGTCAGTCAACAGCGTCTTTGGCAATTTTTGGCAGCAGCCAACTCCAGTATGATGATGAATCCATCAGTTCATCCATCAGTCCATTACAGCTAATTTGATGCGTCTCAGCCTATTCTCAGCTTCTTAATGTTGTCTGCAACTGATTCTTTAAAAAAAATGACAAACACGTACTTCTCATTCTGCATTATGCAAAAGCGGCTGCAATTATAATGAACTACAAAGTGGTTTGTTTGGCACATTGTTAATATTTGATGCAAACATCTGGGGCAAACAACCATCCTAAAAAAGTCGGAGCTCTTTTCCACACTGAGGATGTTGTGCTAAAGACTAGGTCATTATTTCCTCCTTGGAACCTAAACTCTAAACATTACTGTTGTGCAGAAATGGACCATTCCCAGATAAGTGTGTTCACAATCTTTAATACAATCCTCACTAAAATCTTTAATTTTAGAATACAAGGATCAAACTGACGAAAGGTGGCGGTAATCATGCCAGACAGTTGTATTCACTAAATGAAATACTGTCTTGGGTCATGAAGGTCATGCATGTTCAGCAGCAGGTTATGCCTCAGGTCTTTATTCACAGATATTTTACATTTTACTGTATTACTAGTTTATGCACAAACTGGATTTTGGACTGTGCTGTTGTTATAGAGATGTGAAATCAATTTCATGTTGTTAATATGAACTTTCATCAGTTTGACCATTTCCTCTTCCTAACTCTTGACCAGTTCTTCTCTCCCTCTCTACAGCACAGAGTCCGACAGTGACCGACCCTCTCCAGCAGGCTTACGCCGGTGTCCAGCACTACGCAGGTGATATGTCTCTCCTGCCGTCTCGATCCACAAACTGTATTCAGTTAGATAGTATAGCTAGCCAGGACTGATTTAGACTGATTTACCTTGTGTTTGCTAAAACTATTTTAGTTCATTGAAATATACACAGACCTTCAAGAGCAGTCAATGGTACGTCATTAGAACATGCATTACTGCAATATAGCAAAATAAAAAAATAAAAAATAAATCTGACCTCCAAACAAAAACGAATACTGAAATACTCGCAGGAAATGAAGAAAGACTCGCACAAAGAGTCTCACTCTTTTTTTTAGTTCTATAGCCAACTGCTGTATGTAATTGTTCTACCCGTCACTATCACAGGGACAGACAATTATTTAAATTAAATAAATAACAGTTTTCAGACCAGTTGAGTGAAATTGGATAATTTTCCACGCGACACCTGATAATCACTGCTCCACTGACGTTCTGTCATGTTCATCGTGAACCCGTGGCCCCAGTCACAGGACCATTTATTTACCATCAGAAAACCAAAGAACACTATAGTATAATGATGTTTTGTTGTGTCAAATATTGAAATGGAAATATGAAAATCTCCACTGTTGTTCTCCCTTTGTAACAGCAGCCTACCCTGCCGCCTATGCGCCAATCAGCCAAGCGTTCCCCCAGCAACCAACCATCATTCCCCAGCAACAGAGGGAAGGTAAGAGCAAGCGAGTGCGCCCACCCAAGATAAAAGGTGATAATTGCCATGTTCCATTCTAATGTAGCTGCACTGCTTTGAATTAGCGAGGGAGGAAAAAAGCCGGCTGGGGAAAATGTGAGAAAAAGCTTCCCATTTGAAGAGAAGAACATTAGCAGTGAGATGGAAAGTTACTCTGTCATTATTCAAAAACTGCACTAATTCAAACTCGTAGCGTTGGACTGCTTAATCAGTCCATTACAATGTGTTTAAGTCGTTATAAATATTCATCAGATTAATTAGCTGCATGCATAATCATTTATTACCAATTCTGCTCTAGTGTTCATTCTTATGCGATAGCTTCAGACTTAATAAAGTATAGGATTTACTCTGATTGTAAATCACTCTTTCTGACACCATTTGTCAGTCCAACTTCTTCATCTCTACGATTGTATTAGACAGCGTAGGGTAACATCAACATTCAGGGTGACGACTTTAATGTATGGTGTGTGTAACATTGCCTGCAAAAAGTTGTGGGCGACTTTGATAGTAAGCAAGGCGTGGTCACAGAGAAGAAGTTTATAAGGAGAGGGCACACGTTTTTTTTTCATCAGCAATTAGTCAAAACCAACTCCATAGGTTTCATAGTGTAGCGGAAGCAGTGAGCAGAGAGTCCTGGGTTCGATTCCCAGAGGAACCACGTGCTTGTCGCCTGCTGGGGGCAGTCTGTTAACACCATATCTGATGCTAACACCAAAATTTCCCAAGATATGAGATAAATAACAGTTCAAATTATTTTTATTATCAACTCCACTTTCTCTAAAATAATGTTTTGAAGTGATACAACCCCTAGTTCCGGTGTGTGTCTTATGTCGTGAGAGAGTTTTTTGGTTTTCGGTTGAGTGTGTGGTCTGTCCGTGTTTTTGGCATCCATGGGTTTGGCTGCTCTCCCAGCTCTTCTCAGTCAACTGTCACAACCAGCATCTCTGCCATGTAACAAGCGACATCAAAACCTGAATACAAGGATTAGTCAAACATCAGCTTTAAACTCCCTTTGAAGTACACAAATGCCAATTACTAATTCAAACAGCATACAGGTTTGTATTTTTACAAAAAAAAAAGCCATTTTTAACCAGCTTTTTAAAGAAAGAGAAAGCTTCAGAATGAGGTAAAGGTTTGTTTTTCTTGTTAAACATTGCAATACTAAAAAATTATAAAAACATGAGCGTAGGATGTGAAAGCTAAGGTCTTGTAAGAATTTATTCAGGAACCAAAAGATGATTCAGCCGATCACTGAGGTCGTAGTCGGCCACATTAAAGTGAAAGCTGGATTCATGTTTGACAGGTCAGTGGTCGGTCATATGTTGGGAGCGTCTTGTTCCAAAACCTCGCAGTGAGAGGTTAAGGTCATGGAGTGAATTAAGGCTCCTTTGGCCTCCAAGTTGGTTTTTTACACCTCTGTACTTTAGGCTTCCATTCATTGCGTTGTTTTAACTGTGGCCTTTTATATGTTGATGTGTCTTTAATCGTAGCCTTTTAGAGCCACAACCATATTTTTAAATAGTTAAAAGGCACTGGAATTGTTACTTTTATTATCAAAATAAAATGTACTCAGGTTCTGATTATAGTTCACTCTCTATTTACTGCACTATTTACCCTTCCTGTGCAATTGTGTTTAAATGTACACAGTATATCACAGTGGAATAGAATGCACTTGATATTTTCCCGCAGTCAGACTGTGTTTAACTTTACATTTCGCTGTGAAAACTGCAGTTGTGCTACACATTAGATGAAGGTATGATTATACCAGTATGAGTCCTAATTAACTTTTTGTCTGATGAGCTAATAAAAGTGTGTTATTGTAATTTGATATTGTTTAGAAAACATCTCTGAGGCGTAGTCCCACATTTTCAGCTAGTTCCGTTTTACTCCAGGAAAAGACGAATGCCTATTGTGTGGAGTTACAGCCTCTGTCAGTAACTTGACATAAATGTATGCATAGACCCCCCCCCCAGCCCCCCGCCCCATCCTTCTCTGACTCAAACACCCACTGCAGCTTCCCAGACTTGAATTGGCTGGTCAGTATATTTGTCGTTCGTGGATGAGAAAATACAGCACTGACAAAGTCCCTGCTGCTCTGCTTCCTCTTCAACAACAGGTATTTGATGGATGGAGTGGTTTTTTTTAACCAAGCCAGGAACAAAGTGGGGAGAAAATTGCAAAACATACATCAAAGACTGTGGGGAAAAAAAACAACAATAAAAAAACTATGCAGACATTTTTTTGAGGTTTGCGTATGTGTGTGATGTTGTGTGAATGTTAAAAGAGTAACAAAGTGATGAGACAAAAGAGTGTTCTCAGTTCACGCTCATAATTCACCAAAAAGGATACAGTGAGATGTCTGCAGCTGTAGTTTTAATAGTTACTGAGAATGACAACTAATGTTTTATGGTAACTCTTTGGTCAGTTATTTTGTTACTTTGCTGATGGGTCTGGGGGAGATGTCTTTCTGGACTGGATGGAGGTGACGGTTGTACCTGTGTGTGGGAGGGGTTTCTCCAGACCAGAGTGTGAATGTGAGTGTGAATGGTTGTTTGTCTTAACACGTAGCCCTGAATTAAGTGAATGAATGCCACATTCACATGGCTGTCCCAGCTTTAAGCCACTTTTTAGCCAATGCTAGTGTTAAATGGCTGCAGCCCAGTTGGTAACCCACTACATTTTGATAGACAGGAGCCACATTTATTAAATTTTCTGCATTTTCAAACTTGGCTGGGAAATTGCATGTGCGTCGCATAAAACATTAAAAACATTCAACACTAAAATATATTGCCCAATATTTCACATCATTTGGGTTTCCACTTATTTGTTTGTATTTGAGTGTGTGTATGTGTGTGAGAGAGAGAGAGAGTGTGTGTGTACATGTCTTTTTGGCTTATTTCTGCAGTGCAGGTTGCTTGAACTGACAACACTGCAACCAACGTTGCTCCAAGTTGCATCACTCGAGGCAATTTATTAGACTGTGCTGCTCCCTGGAGAGCACTAATAGGCTACATCTGAGCCCTGCTCTCATGACCAGTAAACAGACAGTCACATTTAACAGTCACTGATTTGTACTTATGGTAATGGTATTGAAAGATAATTGCAAAAAGAAAACAAAGAAGTTACATTTGAGTCATACCAAAACATTACCCAGAGTTGTGTGAACAAGCCAGAGTCTATACAACATGCTTTTCTATTCTCAGTCAGAAACACATACTGTTTGTTGTATACCCATCAGAACAGGTAATAAGCACAAGTCACAGTGAGGGGAGGTTAGTTATACTGTAAGAAACCCAACAGCCTCGTGGTCACAATATAACCTCTATGTCTCCAATTAAATACAATATATATATATAAATATATATATATATATATATATCAGCTTCTGGCGAGGTGTCCGGTTAAGCAGTTTGTCAGATTTACTTATGATAACAGTATGATAATGTGCACAGAGGGAACTACCACGGAAAAAGTCCAGAGCTCACAGTCGTTATGACTGTTTCTAAAATTAGCCACTGTGAAGGTCCGGGTGTATTATAGTTGTGTTCCCTTCAGGAGCAGCAGTTTTTTTACGTTGCTTGCTAACAGTAAAACAACTTACAGTTAGAGTTATTAATCAGAGGAACATTGAAGGGTGCAACAACAACTTCAAAACAGTCAGCATTGGCTCCAAAGGTTGCAGAAAGTTCTAACACACACATACAACAACATACAAAAATTCCATCCAGTGTTCTTCGTCTAAGTTCTTCAATGTCATATGTAAAACAAACCAAATCAGTCTGCCCTTTGATTCAGACTCAGATGAATAAAAACATAGTCAGATTTTATGTGTGTGTCCTTTATCTGAGTGGAGCAGCGCAGCAGCACAGCCAACCAGCCACCGCTGCAGCTCCTTTTATCACACATCTGCTCAATCTCGTGTTGTCATGCCATCAGCCTCAGCTCCCTGTCCCTTCATGGTTTCATTTCACTCCCCGTCTCTCTCCACTTCATTCCTGCCTTTTGCCAGATTGGCCTGTACAATATGTGGCAACTGGCAGCAACGGGTGTGCAGGGATTCAGAGCGATTGGAAGACATTCCCACTGTCATGTAGGAATTGATGCAAACACTTGGCTCACGTCTTAATGTCGTCCCTGCCTTCTCATTCTCCTTCTTTCTGTCGTCTCCCCCTCACTCAACCACTTGTTCTTGCTATGTCGTCCTTGTTTCTAATTACTGGCTGATTTTTTGTTTTTTTGTCAAACTCTCACTCACATTTACACCAATTGGTAATGCAAGTCAAAATGCTATCAGGATTTTAGAGCTACCAGGTGTAGCTTTTGAATATAGCCATCTATAAAGCCCTGAATCTGTGCTACAGATAATTGAATACGAGGGTAAAGTTCTGAGATGGATACAGTTTCAAAAGGCGTTTGTTTTTAACTTAACATGTTACAACTCATCTCTTCAGCCTCTCTGACAAGTTTTATCATTATATCTTTGTCAAGCTTTGAGCTGTGTCGTATTTTATTTGATCGTGTTTTTTAACCCTCAAAAATGAATAAGAAAAAAATTATTAACGCAAACATCAAATGTTTTAACCAAACTTGAATAGAAACCTGTTAAAATGATTGAAGCTTTGCAACAGTTTTTGATCTAGCTGCATCTGACTTGTTTCTTTTTCCGATACCCGACTTTTGAAAATAACTTGATTTCAGTTCTGAGACGAGGCAAAGATGCTGGTTGTGAGCTGGTGTGGACGGAATCCTCCAGAATTCTATAAAGAAGGAACTGTGTGACATTTAGACCTTACTGAGTGACAGATAGATAGATAGATAGATAGATAGATAATGTATTTAATGTAAAAAAAAGTGTCTTGGAACATTCTTACTTATGCTCTTATTTGTTTTCTGCTCAGCTTGGGTCCAATTAAAATATATTTAATGTTTTATTAAGTAATGATTGTAATTTTTTTCCACTCAGGTTTTAATGGTCAGTGTCTCCTGTTTATGTTTCCACATAAACCTCCTGTTATTCTCCTCTCATTACCAGGGCCAGAAGGTTGCAACCTGTTTATTTATCACCTGCCCCAGGAGTTCGGAGATGCAGAGCTCATGCAAATGTTCCTACCTTTTGGCAATGTCATCTCCGCCAAAGTGTTTGTGGATCGAGCGACCAATCAGAGCAAATGTTTTGGTGAGTTTTTCACACACACACACACAAAAAATTGACATTGAAGAAAAGAAAAAAAAACATTCTTAAGATGAACAAAGTCAAAGTGTTTGGCAATCATCTCATGCCTCTTGTTTCTTTCCTGCAATTAGTGTTTGCCTTCACTTTATTCCTAGTGTCTATCCTCATCAAGTGGCAATTAACATTTTAAAGTTGCCGTTTCATGCCAGTGAGCAGGAGGGGAAATGAGTAAAGGGACACACCCTCCCTGGCTTCATCACACAGCAGGGAGGCACATCTAACAAGACAGTGCAAAAAATAGAAAAGGGAGAAAATAAAAAAGGTGGAGGTTTAGATCTGAATGAATCAATGAAACTGTCATCTACTCACTGACCCCGACATCCTTCTAAAAATTACCACTTGCTGCACACATCTGTTCCTCACCCACTACATCACTACATTCCCAATACAATCAGTATCCATCAGCTCTCCTTCTCTGACGACGCCCTCCTCCCCCAGCCCATAAACATCACACCACCAAACACCTCCCATCTCACATCCCACACAGAAAACCAGTTCATCAGGGCGGAGGTGTTGCAGGTGGAAAGCGTGAGCTTAAAGAGATAATAATAGACTGGTGTGGGCTTTGTTGTTGATTCAGTTGGACAGCAGCACCCAGGAGACGGGAGCTGAGAGAGAGAGAGAGAGAGCGAGAGAGACGTTGATTCTCTCCGTTCCTCTCCGTCACGGCATATCGATAAACTTCGTCTCTCTCTCAGGACAGTGTCCGTCTTTCTCCTCTTCCCTAAACATATGCCTCCAGCTATCACCATTCCTCAGTCAACAGGAGGAAGGACAAAGGGGTGGCGACCGCATCCGTCTCACCCGCTACATTTCCGTGGCCAGTAATTAACATCTTGTCTGAAAACTACAATTTAAGCCAAGAGTCGTTGGCGTGCCTGCAAATGTGTGTGTGTGTGTGTGTGTGTGTGTGTTTTTAATCGCTTCTTCTTTTTATAGCCGGAGCCTCAGGGTCTCTTTTGTGAGACATTAACAAATTAGACAAAAGATCCAGTGAAATAAGGAGTGAAAAAGCCGTAAGCTAGCCAGAAAAATGAAACACATCTTCCTGAAAAAAAAAGTTGACTTAACCTTCATGCTGTGATTCAAGGGTGTGACGGGAGATTTTATATATTTTAAATAATAAACTAAAAATAAAAATAAATTTACACTCAAATAATTATTAGGGCAAAGAGTAACTTTTAAAATTTGTAGGTAATAAAGATGAACATCTAATTGGCATTTCCTGTTTTTCCAACTGTAGAAAACAATTATATGAAAAATATATGATCGTCTCATTCTCTGCTTAAACAATGACAACAATCTAATTAAATCATTCTATACTTACAGACTCTTTAAAGGTTGAATCCACTGAATGTAATTGAACTATTCTGATGCGTTTGGTAGAAGATGCTAAAAATTCACTACAGTGACGACTTTAGCAGAGGTGTCAGGCTGCGTTTTCAACAGAGATCTCTTTGTGTGTGTGTGCATTTTTAAACTCCAATGCAACACACAGAAAAAAAAGTCTTTTTCAAGACTGAATGAAACATTTAAAACTTGACACCTTGTCACGAGACACCTTTCTGAAGAACACTCTGTAGGTGGATGTGTGAATCTTCCACATAATTGCATTTGATATTAGGCTGCATTTCCAGACCCAGTTGTATCCGACTGGAGGAAAGTTTCCATCAGCAGTCGGCAGTGAGCGGCTCCCGTATGTGTTCGTGTGTAATTCAATCTGTCAGTGGAGCGTTTAGTCACTCACTATTGACTTTAAAAAGTGATCAAAGCTCACCCTGTCAAGAGGAATTAGGTGGATTCAGTTGGAAATGGATTTCAAAAGGTCTGTTGAGGATGAATGGGGGTAAAAATGTATGTAGAGAAGTGACAGAATTTACCTTCAGGGCTAATAAGAGCTGAAAACCACTGCACTTCTTATCTTTACCTTTTCTTTTTTTATTCTTTTAGGTCTATATACCTGCTGGTTTGCTTTTTGGGAGTACAATTCTTATATATAAAGATTACAATTATATCAGCCATAATAGACAATAAAAAATCTTGATGATTCCTTATGAAAGACCCATAGTGTAGTGGTAAGAACACCTGCCTCAGAAGTAGAAAGCAACGTCCTGGGTTTGATTCCCACAGTGGCAGCTTGTTGCAGCAGATCACTGCTAACCCAAGTGTGGGATCAATGAAGCTCAAACTATTATTATTCTTGTTAAAACCTTTTTAGCAGAAACAAGTTTCCCGTCTTTCACCCAGACCTCACTTCTACACTGGAGCTACTTCTACATATACATATTTCTTTTTCTTTTTTGTAACACTAAAAACTTTTTCTGTACTGCAATGCGAGTGATCCAAACGACTCAGCCTCACACTCCACTGGCATGTCCCCCGCTGTCACCCAGTAATGTTAGCAACTCCCTATTAAAAATGCATGACATTACAATGCGTGCAGACATTCAGTGGTTATGGATGGCAGCAGTGAGAGCCGTACCTCAAACACTACTAGTGTTTGGAGCATTGTGTTGCGCAGCTTAACAAAGTCATTGCTACATCACAGATATGAAAAACCAGTCGGTGACTTTCTCCAGAGAGAACGGCGTAGAGTGGTAGAAAAACTGCCCCAATCCCTTGTTCTTTTTTTATTGTCCCACACGTTCAAGTCAGCAGCACAGTCTCCGTTTCCTCCTTCTCTCTACGCTGACCCTCAACATCCCATCACCTTTCATGGCATGTGGATGTAAATGTGAGGTATGGGGATTCATTAAAGTGTGAGTGAGCGCAGGGCGGGAGGAGGGAGCGGTGGGGGGGGGATCATTGCAGAGTGACAGGCCCTTTCCTGTTCAGTTTGTTTAAAGGGTTTGTAAAAGAAGCAGCCTTATCTCACACGCACTGACAAAAGCCTGCCCTCTCCCCCCAAATTAAATTGGACCCATAGCGGTGTGATCAAATCAGCTGGCAGGCGGAAAATTTGGGCCGTCAATCACCGAGGGGTCTGATAAGAGCAGGCAAGGAGTCCTGGTGTGGAAAGTCGTGGCTCATTCCGCCCCGACACACAGGTGATAACTCAGAGCAGCGGGATCCTCCGACCGACACACCATCTCGTCACGACCCCGTGCCCTTTACTCTTTACTTAGATACATACACAGTTGCACACACACACACACAGTCCTTCAGTTTACCAGCACAGATTTGTCCCACAAATCCGGCGAAAACATGAAAAGTCTTTTTGTCTCCTTGGATCTTTTTTTTTTTTTGTTCTGACTTCAACTCTAATTCTAATCACTTTCCTCCATTTGATTTTTAATATCTGTTATTAGCCATTGTGTTATTTTATGTAATCGTTTCAATTCAGAGATTTTCAATTAATCTGCTAAAAAGAGAAAACAAAGACCCATTGTCGAGGTTTAAAAAGGCTCTTTTTTTCCCCTTTAGTCTCGTCTGTTTCAGTTTCCCGCCTTTGTCCCTCTGCCTTTTTCTTCTTCCTCCTTCTTTCAGATGTCTGTACATTCATCTGCACTCCTCGGTCGTTCCTTCTATTTATAATTTTTCCCCTTTTCTTCTCTGCCCCATTCTCTGCTTTGTGTTCTGGTACCAGGTTTCGTGAGTTTTGATAATCCATCCAGTGCTCAAGCGGCGATCCAGGCCATGAATGGGTTTCAGATAGGCATGAAGAGGCTGAAGGTGCAGCTAAAGCGGCCAAAAGATGCCAACCGACCTTACTGACTGACCTGCTGTCCGTATCCAGGTACAGTAAGACAAATACCACCAGTGGGTTTCACCTCATCATGTCCTGTTTGGTAAATGGTTTGAATGAGGAGACATGAATGTAGAGAGAATGAACTCATCTTCATCATCTTTACATTTGTAATGAGGTGACGCATCTTTGACCAATTCTTAATTTTCTCAAGTAGAACAACAACCAATACTACGCCGTGTCTTAGCTAAAAACCATTGGTCATTTTGCTAAAGCACAACCTGATGACATCATCAATAGCCTGCTGTGCTAGTTAGCCCTCCACTGTTAATAACTGACAGATACAGATTTATAGAACCGATGATTTCTCCCCTCAGTGTTAGAGTTCTATCCAATCCAGAAGCACAAAGATGCTGAAACAGAAGCAGCCACGTGTATGATCAAGTGCAGTGGTTTGGACAATAATAACAGGGGTTCAAGTGATGCAGTAACAGACTGTGGTCCAACTAAACTGTTGCATTCAGAGACTGTAAATATAGACAGGATATAGAACAAAGCAAAGTCTAAACGTTTGAAAATGTTGAAATGTAAAGGTGAATTGAAAAAAAAACAACAAAAATAAAATCCAATACATTTTCTCCATTTAGGTCGAACGTTCCAGCAAAGCTAATTATTACTTAACCCTTTTTAATATAATGGCAGAATAATTGGTATAGTAGTGCTAGACTTGAACCGTCCATCTACTGATCATTGCTTAAATACACATTCGATCGTTTTTCAGATTCAGTTTGGTTCTGTCGGTCCATGGTGGTTTTTGTTGAAGTAAAGACACAACATTTCTTTTAAAATTACAGTAGATTTCCTTTATATTATTAAGTCATTCACTTTGACATTGTTTCTAATCCCTCATAGCTCAACGCTGCTGAGATTCCATAGATAAAACTGGGAAAACAAAGTAATTCAAACATAAATGAATCACTTTGGTTAAATAATTAAAAAATATTGAATAAATTACAATTAAATAAATGAATATTAAAAATTCATACCAGAACATCAAATGATATACATTTTCATACATTTATGTATATACACAAACATTTTTGTATACTGTATATGTATGTATAAAATATGTGTATATAACATGTATAAGTATATATTTGTAAGTATATATTTGTACGTTTGTATATATACTTATATACTGTATAAATAAGAATTTGACATCCTTTAGAAACAACAGGATGTAAAACATCTTTAGTGTCGTTTTCAGACCACAGTCAGTTCAACAGCCAAAGCCATTCCTGGGGAGGAAGTAAAACCACACCTAAATTCTGATGTTAATTTCTGAATGGGACCTGTTGTTATGAGGATGTTTCACAAATGCATGTGCGCTTTCCTTGTAATGAGAACTTTACCTTGTGCTAGTATTCTATATTTAATTACAGCTCTTTTAGGGCTTTAAAAAGTCAAAGCTTTCACGCAATATAATAAAAAGGGTGGTTTACTTAAAGTCACAGCATCCGTCCATAAACACTCATTTCAGGGTGTCTGGCCTAATTGAAAGAATCATCACCCATCTGTCACAAAGTGCAGCTGCCAGTGCGGAAATAATATAGATGCATTTTCTCTTCACCCATTTGGCTCGACAACTTTTCATTACAATAACATAAGCCTGGATTATACACCTCTATAAATAAGAGCGTGATAATGCCATTTGTTTGTTTTAGATTTGACTCTTTAAAAGCCACAAGATGACATTAATGGAAGGTAGTGTGCAATATAAATGATAGATGATGCCTTTATCCGTCGGCCCATCGCATCTGAATGCGGCGCTGTCCTGCTAATTGAAGAGACACTTTTAGAAGTAGACACTCAGAGGGAGCTCAACAATGAGGGGCAAATGGAAAACATCCCTGTAACAGCTTCAAATAACAGGGCCGTCATTGAGATGTACAGGCAAGATCTCAGAGCACAGGCTGAGCCGTGTTTCCCGGGAGGATGTTACTGTCACTGCCAGGTGTGTGTGTGTGTGTGCATTCATATGGGTACACATGTGCATGTGTTTGCATGCGTGTGTGTTTTTTTTCGCTCCCCCTCGTCTGTCCTCATTTTACTCCATTATTAGTCTACTTTGTGTTTTTCCTCTTAGAATACACAATTCCAGCTCCAGGGTGACGTAAAACCAACAGACCCAAACCCAGACTGATCCCATAAAAATATTAGAGAAGATAATAGTCTACCTTTTGTCAAATCAGTTCTGTATTAAAGCTTTTGGTTACAAAAGTGCTAAAAAGTAATTTGAGGTCTTATTTGAAGAGGAGTTTTAAAGATTGGAGCGGCCCGTCTCTGAGTCTTTAACTGTAGCAGACAGTAAGCTGAAAGCAGCACGAGTATTTCTTTAATTTTCTAAATCCTCCAAAATTATAATGATGAAAAACTCCCATGAAGCCTTGTGTGTGGGCCTGCCTGTGTGGAGTTAAAATAAAATTAAAAAAAATAAAAAGATCAAACAGCATCCTCCCGTGCTGCTCTCACAGGAGGCCCTGCCATACTCGGAAATTACATTCCGTGTCTTAAAGATAAACTTAATGCAAAAAGCTGGAGCACTCACTGTATGGCCACCCTGGTAACAAACAATGTAAGGCAAATCCAATTACTGTAGACAGGACAAGTTTTTGAAATATGCATTTCTGCCTTAAGGGTTATCTTTGTGAATATAAAAACCTCAATTCAACCTTTTAACCTGCACGTCGTCAGCTCCGAAAGTATTTCATCACCAGAACGAACCACAAGAAGAAGAAGAAAAAAAAGCTTTTTGTGCCATGTTGTTTTTCCCTTTTCCTTGTTTTTCCCCTCTCTTTCTTTGGAGGTAATAAGCATAATAACCACATATGATTTGTCAGGCAGTAAAAAGTGAGTGTGAACAAATATGGAAGGGGTGCTTTGAATTCTGACTGAAAGGAAAAGAAAATCCCACTCTTTCTTTCCTTTTTTTGCACCATACCAACCTGGCAACCTGACACGGCCAATCACAGTGTGAGGTGGCCTTTCTCCGCTATAACCACACACCCCTACACCAGTCATGGGGACAAGTTCCCTCAACTGTAAGTTGAACCCATGGTGTCAGTTTATATTTGATTTTTTTGGATGACGTCATGTGGTGGGAGTGTGTTCACGTTGCATGACGTGGCATTGATGGACATTTCTGAACTCTTTCATAATCTATCTTTTTGACAGTGTATATATTGTACATTGGCAACTTGTGGAGTGAAGTAAACTGATGCCTTCTTGTCAACTGATGGCTGGTGTTGTTTATAGTGGAACTTCTGTGCTGACTTTTTAATTCTAACTGGAAGTGGCCTTAAACCTTTGTGCTATTGTATCGTGTGTCCTTGTGATGTTTCTTCACATTTTTATCGTGTGTTATAAATGTTCTGTATCTACAGTTTCTTTGTTTCTTTCCATTTACGTCCGTGTGTTTTTGTTTTTACTTCGTCGACTCTCTGAACTTTTTACACTCCCTGCCAATCGACAGCTTTGTTGGTGGCCAATCTGACCCCTTATTTGTGAACCCAATTATAAATCCACTGTTCTTGCAAAGAGCACAGGCAAATGTTGACACGCCACTTCTCTGTGGATTGAATCTAGACAGGGAGTACTTCTGTGAGATCGTTCTGTTTGCCTACACGAGAATCGCCTCTCGTATATTTATTTATGAAGGTACGAACCAATTACACGTGATAGAGCTGCAGGCAGAATGACGTGCCAGAATCTGTCTGCCAGAAACCATCTTATCTCCAGGTGTATGGCAGGAAAATTAAACAATACACACTGGATGTATTTTTTTCTTATTATTATTGTTATTAGAACTGTAGTACCATAAAAATTAGCTGTTGTGTTGGTGACTTGTATTTTAGATAAGCCTTAAAAAACACAGCTGGATATTCAGGGTTTGTCAGTGAGTTAGTTTCCATCCCCACAGGCCAAACTGGGATAAATGTCAAATGTTTCAATCAAACCCCCCCCCCCCACTTCTTTTGGAGAGGCGGGGTCTCAACTCTATTCAACTTAGAGGATTGTCAAGCTAGGTATGCTATGGTGGGGTGAGGCGTCTCTGGTGTTTACTCTGCTTATCAACCGTGTGTGAAGGTGGTGGTAGAGATCGAACAGCGAGCCTGAAGGGGGCAGACCTGATCAGTTCTGGTGTGAGGTACTTTTCTTTTTAAAGGCACAGTTTATCCCTTCTGTTCTGTGGTTGATGTTCAACCCAAACTAATGACACACTGGCCTCGGCACAAACAAGAAAATGGTCCGATTTGTTTTTTTGTTTGTTTGTTTTTTTTTTTTGCTCCCTTATCTGAGAGGCTGATCTTTTATGAAATGGTAACAAGCTCATTTGCAGAGATGTAAAGGTAGAATAAAGAGCATCTGGGCGAGTGTGCGTCAAACAAAGTCAGCTCCTTTCATGTTCACTTCTACTTCACAGTGATTGGCTGTGATTTGATAGCCTTTCTTTATATGGATCAGAGCCCACAGCATGTCATGGATGATTGCCTGTGAACTAGATCTTTTGTACCTACGGACAAATCCAGTTTAATTAAGTCTTAAAAATAATAGGCCAAGAAAAAAAAAACAATTTTTAAATGATAAATAAAAAGAAATATAATCAGACTAACACACAGCCCTACATTCAGAGACACCTGATTCCGGTGTCGAACATCTCAGGTATCATTTTAGCTGTATTTTATTCCCACACAGGAAGAGGCAGTCAGTTTAAATGAGGTCTTCTCTGGATTAGTGCTGTCAGGGTGTAGATGTCTGTTCCATATGGTTAAAACACAAATCTCCCATCCTAACTCTTGCCCACTTATTTCTGGTTTTGATTGACATACTCCTTCTTCACCTCCCCGTCTGTTTCTCATGCTGTTGGCTGTGCCTGTCAGTCTGTGTGATAACCGGTAGCCAGCAAACTCCGAGTGTGTTTGCTGCGGCTTCTCTGAATTCACTCTCCTGATTCTCACTCCCTCTCTCTTCCTCTCTCTCTCTGTTACAGGATGAAGGGCCCCAGAACCTTATTTCCACAAGTGCAGTAAAAGTACAAAGACTTCTTGCTCTGCTACATATCATGAAGGAAAGGTGGTCCCTTGATCCTGCTCGAGACCCACTGAAAGATGGGGTGACTAACAGAAGGATGCCAGAGATGATTTTGGTTTTCCTCTTTTTTTTTTTTCGAAAGATTTTTTTTTTTGTTTTCTTTTTTCGCAAATGCCTCTGTTTTTCCCTGTTTTGCTTTGGCGTCTGTGGAAGAAGATTTTTGCAGAGACCAACTTTTTTGCTGCTGTTTTTTAGACATGATGGGGAAAAAAAACCTTTATAGACTCATTATGCTCAAAGCATGCATACTGACACAGGATATAGATATACACACATCAATGCAGATAACGAACCAAACATACACTCTTAAAAATGCTACACCCAAAAATAGGAAAAAGACAAAAAAAAAAAAAAAAAAAAAAACTTCTTTGTACATGTATAAATACGTGCAAATGCCAACTCAAGAACTGAAGCAAACACATGCGTACACTAAAAGACACACACACACACACACATATACACACACACACACACCAGCCTGCTGCCATTTTGGTTTTTGTGCCTACACAGGTGTTGTGCTCTGTGACAGGGCAAGCTCTGGATTGAAGAAGAAAACAAGACGGAGGAGAGAAGAGGAGAATCCAGGATAATTTACATGCATCATTCCTTAGGAAATAGGGACCAAAGGACTAAATGCTTTTTAAAAGAATATAAATATATAAATATATAAATATATATTTAAAAAGACATACCTTGTAGCTGCAAGTATTACAATTTACTCGTAGTAAAAAAAAGAAGCAAACATTAAATCAATATCCAGTGGCCTACTGTAAGTGCGAATAAAAGAAAATGGAAATAATGTATTAAAAAGACATGGAATCGTAGAGTAGGGGCTGAGCTCTGGATGCTGATTTAGCACCAGGTTGTAGAATAGTAGTAGACTAGAGAAAAAAAAAATGTAAATTTGCAACTTTTTGCTGTTGTTTAAAAAAAAAAAACTTGAAGTTGTAACAAAAAGGGGAGGAACAGGGGTGTAAAAAAAAAGAAAAAAAAGAAGGAAATATTCATCTGCCCCTGTAAGCCACAAATCTCTTTCTCTTGGATGTTGAGGTCTTAGCCACTGGATATCTCCATCACGATGTACAAGTTACTGCACTCTCTGACAGTTACAAACAGACTGTTCTGGATGAGGAAAAAAGATTGACAAGCGAGGAAAAAGAGTGAACTTTCCTTTGTGTTCAAGCGACAATCCACTGTAAAGACCAAGCAAAATGGACGTGGGGTATATTTTGTTGTTTTTCTTTTGTTTGTTGTTGTTTTTTTCTTTTGTCCCCTCAAACTTTGTACTGCAACATGAAGTGTGAATTATAATGCCACAGATTGTGAGATGGACAGATGGACAAAAGGCTAGTTATGAAAGAAGGGGAAGAAGAAAAAAAGGATGATGAAGTAATGTGACAGCTATTGAAACTGCCAGCAGAATGAACCGGGGACGCAACGAACTGGTTTTCACGTCTGTGGTTTTTCCCTCGAACAGTTTACGTGTGCTGTAAAAAACCTTGACTTCTGCAAGTGACAAGCCAAGAAAACTCCATGTTAAGAAAGAAAAAGTGCATCAGTCGCAATGCTACATCTAATGCTACATTAACTCTTCCAAATATAAAAACAGGTAATGCTTTTACCATGAAGTTGTACATACAGTATCAATCAGACTCGGCTGTCGGTGGTTGGCAGCACCTAGCCTATCTGTAGCCTCTCCGACACTGACACTACAGCACAGAACAAATGCAGTTTTATAGGTTCATGTTAGGTTTTGTAGCATTCTTCAGAAGCAGATTAGTTTAGAATGAGCTACGCAGGATGACACAAACCTTATATTGGGCTTATTTAAATTAAGGATTGTTCATATCTTCATAACAGACTAGAATTGTTCCGGTCTAAAATATTTGTGCATAAAACATCCAAATATGTCCCTTATATGCATGCTTTATTCCTGACTTTAAAAACACTAATCTGGGGGAGCCAAACGAGAGACCCGTAGAAAATAGATTTGTATATCAATATTATGGCTAAAGATTTTTTTCGACTTTCCCCCATGAATCCTCTTGTTCCCTCGTCCTCATAGTGAATTCAACATTTTCAAATGTGACCCAAATGTTGGAGCCTTTCCTAAAAGTGGCTAATGTCTGTGCTTAGTACCATTCAATTATCTCCTGGGCCGTATTAGACATGCTTTTTCACCTTTCCCCTCTAATCACAGTATAATCACCAGCCTCCATACATTAGCAGCAAATGAGTGAAAAATCACAGGGATAATCGCTTGGACAAAATGACGGGAAAAATGGTCCTCTGAGCGCACATGGATGACAGAAGGAAGATTAGAGAGAATTATGTTTGTGCCGACTCCTTGGCAAGGCTGTCGACAGCTGACCTGGCACCAATAAAACTGGCAAATTTATCCAAACAGACAAAAGATGTGAGATAAAACTTTACATAACACGGCCACCTGCAATATTAACAGCGAGCCGACGCTCAAAATGCAGGAGACCAGAAATGCCGAACGTCTTTCGTCTTTACAAAAATTGCTGCGACAACTGTTGCTCGACTTTGGATCGAGACCAACAACTGTAGGAGAAATCCTCAATTTTGTAGAAGCAGCTACTCCGTGTCTCTTCTTTCAGCACATACTCGTGTCTCAGCAGTTACAGCGGAGGCCACTGTGGTTTACGATACAAATTGTTTCTGGCATCTTTATTTTTCTCACTTAAATCCCAGCTGAGACAAACACAAAATACAGAATTTGGAATAATATTTCCAAAGCCTGGAGGTTCTTTGGTGTTTAAAATGATGCCATCGTAACGACATCCTTTCTTCTTAATTACGTTTAAATACATGTAGGGTGAAACCCATTCATCCTTTCAGCGCTCTCAATGGGATTTAGATGCGAGCAGCTTCGCGATATAATGTAGAGTAGGTCAAAACAAACCCATGTACTGCTCATTATTCATGTGAAGTTGAACCACACGGAGGAGAGTGTAACGCTCCGAGAGCAATGAAACTTCCTCTGCTTGTCTCAGCAAGCTTTGGAGAACATTTCTGCAAGTCAGGCTTCGTCTGGCTGAACAGGAACCTGGTATTCCCACGTTACTGTTCTTCGCCGTTTTTATACCAAATGCTGCACTAGTTAATGGCAGGTTGAGTCCCTGGTGAGCTCAGCTGCAGCAAAGCCTATCCTGCTGTGTGTTTGGATAACAATGGTGTTCATGTAGCATCTGTGCTTCGCCAAGGCTAAATCAGGCAACGTAAAATCAGCATTACACAGTACACTCCTCATGATTATGCCCAAAGTGACGAGCTCTGGAAAAATGGCTGTAGAAAAGAACAGAGGAACAGTTTGCTTAAGGTCTAACTATTGCTTTTTATTATTAACGCAGGTTGTTTGTTTTACCTGCTGCATTTCCAGTACTGTGTGCTGCTGCCATTTGTCTGTTACATTTTAAAACGAAAAGTAACACAATGAAAAGTGAATGAATTTGAATATACAGTACAGTATACCCAACTTTTAATCAAATCAGAGATAAGGCTAAAATCACAAGTACAGTATACCCAACTTTTAATCAAAAATATTCAGGCCACCTGCCCCCCACTATCAAAGTTGGTAATATTACCACACATACTACAGTATAGCCACATACCATTACATACACAGTCAGTTCTACAGAGTTCTTTCAGCCAGGAAGGCCAGGATGGAGCAGAAGGAGCTGCTACAGCAGGTCTATGAATCTCCCCCTCCCTGGGTGTGTAGCACTCACCCTAAAATAGCAGTGATTGTCAAGGAAAGGAAGTGAAATGTAATTGACTGAAAGCAGAGAGATAATTAAAAGAACCTGTTGGACAGGAGGGAAGAAATTAATGTCTCTCATTTAATAGATGCTTAGGGAGAGAGAGTTTTCCCTTTAACTTGCATTAGCATGGAAAGGGCTTTTGCTGTGGAAATGGGATTTTAGGTGGAAAATGGTGGAGGTGGAAAATAGGCACCGGGTGGTTGGGGTGCTGTGTGCTAAACTGAAACTCCACAAAATCACTCCCAATACTCAGGGCATCAGGCGCTATGATGTCATGATTAGTGGAGAGTTTCAGAGCCTTGTGTTACCCCTGATCCTGAGGGAGGTCGAGCTGAATCACAGATACGAGTTCAGTGGGAGCTGTAAGATCGCCATCACATCGCAGGGAGTGCTGCGCCAGCAGAAGAGCTGATAAACCATGTGACTCATGCTGTGGATCTACAGTATCATCGTCCAAGCCCGAAAGTAACCGACCAACAACAAGAGAAACAAGAACAAACTGACTAAATATCTCCATCGTCCACCCAGTACTGCACAGTTAACCCATGGAGGTGTAACAGAGTGGCTGACACTGATGAAGACAAAGACTTTTTTTTTATTCTTTCATGTAAATAGCCTACAGATTACAGAAAAAGAAAAAAAAAAGGAAACAGAAAGGTTGTACAGCAGTTGGCGTTGAGGAGCCCAACACTGTGGGACAAAGATGTCACAAAAAAAAATTATCCACAGCAGTCCAGGGAACTGGAAGACTTTCAGTCCTCGTACGACCCTTGAGTTGAGGCAATGAATCCATAAGCATCTGACCGTGGCTTGACGGGAACTTGACTTGATGTCAAACCACAGCCACAGATAAGAGGAGGGTTAACTAAGAGTTTGTGCGCACTGACGTGTCATATTTCTCTCACTGCAGAAAGATCACCTGGATGGGAACCTTCGTTAATCAGGCAATGATGAACATATGTGAGGAACTGTCAGGTTCATCCATCTGCATGCTTACTACTTGACAGTGTGGCAAAAAGAAGAAAAAAAAATCAACAACAAAAAAACAAAACAAAAAAAAACACAGCTACCACACTTTTTCACAATGTTTAAAGCGTTTTACAAAGCTACTTTTAACAAATATGAACTATCCAGGTTACAGGTTGCTCAACATGTACAATAACTACTTTGAGGGACGTCAATACACGCAACCTTGTAAAGCATAGACTTACAGGACGGAGTCTAGAACCCAGCAGAACCCCCTGCCTGCTCGACCCAGTCTGCCACTGCTCTTCTAAAAAACACAGCTGTGTTATTTCTGTACATACAATATAGCTTATTTTTCAATTCTGTTTAACCTTCTTTATAGGCCGTACAATAGATCAAGTTCAAACGTTCAACGTTTTGAAAAAAAAAAGAAAAAAAAGAAGTAAAGAATAGTTACTATATTTCAGCGAAACTACGAGAAGGAAACTATGAAATAATTTATCACAAAAAAGAAGATAAACTGATTTTATTTCTTGTACAGTGAAGCACTGCTGTTGAGAAATGGGATTTTATACTCATGTTGATAAACAGCTCTTGAGTCTCTCTTTTATTTTTGTTTTTATTGGCTGAAGCTGGGATAGGACCATCGTCATAAGATTTTTTATTTTTTTCTCAACTATGCTTTGATCATTTTCTTTCTCGGCTGTACAATCCATGTATGAAATCCCTTCTGCACTGGAGAGTTCAAAGGGATCTTTTTTGCCACTGAAAGCTCTTAAATCAATACAAGAATTAACAATCTGCACTGTAAAGAGGATGATTGATGGTACTGGTCGTCTGGATTCAGGAAAAAGAAACGAGTCCATTGCACAAGGGTGTTCAAATGTATCAACATTGCATGTTCAAAATCAATCTCATCTGAGGCCTTTAATTATTTTGAGAAAAAATATAAATATATATAAAAAAATGAAGGAAAAAAAATAAAACCAACAGCCAGATTGGTTTGAAGTCTTTTGCTCTCATATACCAGTGTTTTTAAACTATAGACTGAACCTTTTTGAAATTTGTGTTTATTTATGGGTTTTTTAATCATCTCTGTCTATAATTAAAGAGATGCTTCTGCCACTGTTTGTTATTTAATGTGACTTCATCCACTGAACTTAGTGTTTCAAAAGTGACAATGCCATATTGCTTTGCCCGAGTCAGGTTGATTTGTTAATCTGAGAAGGGGATTCTGCCTTAAACCCAGCCTGTTCTCTTTGACAGTACTACCTGTGAACAGTGGTCGGACACACTGTAACCTGGGAATGCCAAATGTTCTATTTTCAAAAGTGGAAAAAAAAAGAAAAAAAATTCTGTTGTAATGAGAAAAGAACACTTTCACCAGAGTCTGTTTTGCCTCAAGCCCATTCTGACACAGATGACAGCTGTGCTCACGCTTCTCCATTTCCATTGGTTACAAGGACCAAATTGTGAACAAACTCAGCTAACAGAGCCGTTTGCTCCAATCAAGCATTTAATGAGAGCCTTTAAAAGTAATCACATTTAGCCTCACGTAATTTTACATCATTGATCATTACAGCATTAATCTTTAAACTCCCAGCTTCACAATCATAATTTGATCCTCTTTATTTTATATCTTATGCACAACGCATTGACCATCTGTGTTTAAGTGTTTTCTATTCACAAAGAAACTGAATATTACGTTCTTTTATAATTTGTCTTGGATTGATTTTACTTGACTTATTTTTCCCCTTTGAAACAGAGATGTAAATTGAAAAGGCGTTGGCTAG